CAAAAAATCATATCAATCTGAATGAGGCGGAGTGCAGAGTGGAGACCCAAAGCCCATCTGTAGACAATTGGACATCCCCTTACAGAAGGGTCACAAGGAGGAGACAGGTCAGTATAGCACTGTTGAAACATACAACTTTCCTCTAGTTCTTTAAGGCTTCCTCCCCCCAACTACCATGATCCCAATTCTACCTTACAAATCCGGTTAGACCAGAGCATGTACATGGATACAAATAAGAGCTGGAAACAGGGAATCCAGGACAGATAAACCCCTCAGGACCAATTATGGAAGTAACGATACCAGGAGGGTAAGGGAAAGGTGGGGAAAGAAGAGAGGAACCGATCACAATTATCTACATATAGCCCCCTCCCTGAGGGATGGACAAGAGAAAAGTGGGTGAAGTGAGACATCGGTCAGTGTAAGACATGAAAAAAAAAAAATAATTTATAAATTATCAAGGGTTTGTGGGGGCGGGGTGGAGGGAAAAAATGAGGAGCTGATACCAAAGGGCTCAAGTATAAAGAAAATGTTTTGAAAATGATGATGACAACAAATGTCCAAATGTGTTTGACACAATGGATGGATGGATATATTATTATAAGAGCTGTATGAGCCCCCAATAAAATGATTTTTTTAAAAGAGTGAAGGGATAGAGTCTGGCCTGTCAATCAGGTCATAACCAGTGAGGCCTCTGTGTGGGCATGACCTTCTCCTGAGGATTCTCGAAACTCCTGCATTCTACCTTAGAGGCAGGTGACACTCTTTCTCTGCTCACTCCCTGGGAGACATTGCAACTGAGAAGACACAAGGAACTACACTACTGCCCTGAACTGGAGAAGCCACATGGAGACCCCTGCCAGCGCTGAGATGCTTACAACACCATTGGATCCACAAGACTTTCCACCAACTGGCCTGTGATCGTCCTGCATTCGGCATCATTACATGCGTTTCATGAGTCTAAAGAGGAATTTATAGATTGGTATCGGACATATGGGCTAATACCAGACTTATGGACTTGATCTGGCCTGGGCTAGAATGTTTTCTCAATATTCAATTGCTCTTGTATATAAATCTCTTTCTTACACAAATATGAGTTTCCCTGGACTTGTTTCTCTAGTCTATCCAGGCTAACACAAGGGTCTTTCCATGAAATTACTGGCTCGTGTCCTCTTCAAGGTGTTGCTCTGTAACTCCTTCTCTTTAAAAGAAAAGAGGAATGTGCTCTGATTGTATGGATTTCTTTCAACTCTGCCACGGGCTTAGTTACTATCCTACTTTCAGTCCTAACGGAGTCTGTGAGCCCCCCACACTTGGAGGGAAAGTTGATGAGCTCAGACCTGCGTTTCCACCTTCTTTCTCATTGCCTCCACAGAGAACAATGGGAGTGACCCAGGAAATGATTTCTCCAGGGGGCGAGAGTTCACACGAGGCACTGCTTCCTGAATGATACCTTGGAGAATGGTTCCTTCTACACTCCGGGAGAATTACAAGTTTACGTCCCAATACCGGAGCCCCATGAGCTGGGCAACCATACTTAATTTGCTAGCAGGAAGTAACAAACCCCCAGGAACAAACACTGGGAATACTGGACTGTCCTCTGCGAGATCACTGAAGGCTGGCTGGTGCAGACGGACTAGGATGTGGAGTTAGCTGGTGGTGTGGTGGTTATGCCTTGGGTTGCTAACCCAAAGGTGCACAGTTCAAACCCACCAGCTGCTCTTCAGGAAAAAAAACTTGACTGTCTACTCCCCTGAAAAGTTGCCATCTTGGAAAACTACAGGGCTAGATCTACTCTGTCCTATAGGGTCTCTGCGACAGAGTGGACTCAATGGGAGTGAGTTTGTTTTTTTAGTTTGTTCCTGCCCATTTGGGTCCAGTAGACATTTCACCCAATAGGTAATGCAAGCGAGTCCTGGTGCCTCAATGGTTAAACACTGGACTGCTAATTGAAAGGTTGGGGATATGAGTTCAGTTAGCAATTCGAAAGTCAGAGAAGTAAAGGCTTGGTGGTGGTCTCCTCCCATAAGGACCACCATTGAGGAAACTCTATGGGCCAGTTGCCCTCTGTCACTCAAAATCACTGCGAGTCAAGTTGGTCTCAAGGGCACCTAACAGCAGGTAGACCCCTAGTTCCACCAATCAAACAGCGACTTCCCTATTTGGAGTGAAAGTGACTTCCTCCCAAGGGAACAAGTAAACCACTTCAAACATCCCATTCCTGAGCAGAGACCACTGGGTTTAAAGAACTGGGCACAATCAGGTGACCAGGGAAATGTTCTTCCCAAAATGGCGTACGGAAGATCTGGGAGACTGGGCCATTATTAAGAATTCATTTGCATGTTTTCAGGGTCCTCTCAGGACAAGGCAAAGGAATTGAGACATTCCCTAAAGACACAGGTTCTAAGGCCACCATAAATCAGAAACCCCCTAGCAACTGCAATAGAGTGACAGTCGCCAACCTGGTAACTCCCTCCCTCACTGCCTAGGGACCCTATGGGACAGGGAAGAGCTGTCCCTGTGAGTTCCAGGACTGTAACTCTTTACTGGGGTAGAAAGCCTCATCTCTCTCCAGAGGAGCAGCTAGTGGCTGTGAACTGGACAACTTTCAGCTGGAAGTCCATGGCCACCAGGGCTCCTACCAATAAGGTAAAAAGTATTGGAGAAATGACTGAAGAACAGCATGCCCCACCCTTCCCTGCAAGAGGGGTACTGCCCAGACAACTAGTGACGATGGCAGAACTGTCAACCGCAGTCCTGACACAGTAGCACACAACCCTTTCTCTGCATCTCGGGTCTCTGTGTGAGCAGTAGTCCTTGTGGTTGCGGCTTTCCAGGCAAGCTTGTGGCTTCCACCTGCTTCAGCCACCGACACTGACCGCATACTTGGGAAGTGAGGGGGGATGAGTAGGGAGATCAAAGCCAATGCAAGTTGGTACACACACACACACACACACACACACACACACACACACACACAAGTTCAGGCTGAAGAGGGAGGGTCGCTGTGGGGTGAGACAGCAGTGGCAAACTCCGGCTCAGTACATCCCGGCAGATATCCTGACTCACCGGCCCTGCCATCAGGGACAAAAAGGAGACTTGGCATTGTGTCTTGAGTTGAACCTCAGGCTAAGAAATGCTTTCTGAACTGGGACACGGAGCCTTGAGCCTTCATCCTGGCTGGGCACACCTGGCAGTGGGCCCCTCAGTCTCAGTGTCTCGGTTGTCTCCTCTGGCTGTCCTGCTAGCCAAATCCTGCGTAGCTTTTAGTTCAAACCTAGTTAAGGTTTCTTCTTCCCATAACCCACAGGGAGGCAGTCCACTGGGGGACAGCTGCAGGACTCTCCTTTCCTCACCAACTCCAGGACCCCATGACCCCCACTTTGTAGAGGTGCTGGTATCCTGGGACAAGAGGGGGAGGGGATCCCCTGTCTCTGCAGCCTTGGGGAGGAGCTTGCAGACCCTAATCTGTTACAGAGGGCTGCCCTCCCCAAACGCAGTCCCCGCGGACACTGCTTGGGCGATCCGGAAGTAACTCTCCCACCCCACCAACCACGGACAGCGTCGACACTGGGGCCAGAGAATCTGGGAGCCCCAGGATCACCGGGGAGCTAGAGAGGCGGGCGGGGCCGGCCGGAAGAGCGCTGCCGTGATGGACCCCTTGTCCTCCGCCGGTCCAGGGACCAGGGCTGTGGCTGGCCTCCAGACCAGGCAGCTCCGAGCACCGAGCAGCAGCCGTTCAGTGAGTGGAAAACACAAAACAAAACAAAACAAAAACAAACTCACGCGGCTTCCTGTTGTGCAACCCGGCTCCAGTGAGCCACTGAGACCTGGTCCAGGGCCTGGGGATCGGCAACCCAGGCCCTCGGGGCTCCAGACCCTCAGAGGGTCCTGCTTTGTGAGACACCCCCCCCCCCCAGGAATTCCGGGGAGCGCGCTGCGAAGCCAGAAACGACCTTCCCTCAGTTTTCCCAGCCAGGTACCTAATTGAATCATCCACAGATGACAAATGCTTCGCGTCCAAATTTCCCAGACACTTGAGTGACTTCCTCACCCCCGAGGTGACTTGTCGGCCCGAGTGAGTAACGTGGAAGTGGCTCGGCCCGGCCAGGTGCGTGGTCTAGGAGAACGGGCCGCTCACTCACCAACCGTGGCCAACTTCAACACACACACACACTCACACACTCACTCTCATTTGTAGGGTCGGACACTTTCCAAACAGCGCTGACATTTTGTCGAGCCCCATAAAAATGGAAACGGCGGTGACGAACTAGGGGGGGGAGGCGGAGAGGCTCACACCGCGGCGGCGTGGGAGGGTCGCGGTCATAGGCACGGCAGCAGCTATGGGCTTGGCCTTGGTCCATGAGACGGACCCTGGGTCCCCCAACCCCAGGGCCTCCCTGAGACGTGGGGACGTGGCGTGGGGCGAGGTGGACGGCCGCCGCCGCGGCCGTGGGGCACCTCAACCACATGGAACTTCACAAGGCCACTGTCCCGCGTGTGCACGACAGACCCCAGGCCCCCATCCCTCCCTCCCTCCCTGCCTCTCCAGAGGTCCCCGTGGGGCGGGGAGGGGGACGCGGAGTGGCGGGTGACCGACCCGGAGCATCCAGCCCCGGGCCAGCCTCTGTCAGCAATCTGGTCTCCGCAGTTAAAAAGAAAAACCCTAAACTGAAACTCGGGCTAATTACTGAGGAACTTTAAAAGCTTGTTGATTTTCTTCGGGCACAGCTCTCTTTGCAACCGACAAGAACGCAGCTTGACCCCAAGTGACCCCCCCGCGGTGAAGTCGGTCTGCATAAACAGAGGACTTTTCCAGAATACTGGGGGTGGGGTGAGCGCGTTGCCTTCAGGAGCGCCAACGCCCCCCCAACACACACCCCAAGTCCGCGCGGACAAACTGATTCTTAGCTGCTCCTCGGCGCCTTCACCCCTCCACGCTCCGGCGCCCACTTTCGCTCCCTCTTCCGCCTGCGAGCAAAGTTCCTCTGGCACCCACTTACCAGGTAACCAGGATTTCCACAACAAAGCCGGCGTGCGGGTCCCCTCCGGCTCCGGCCAGCCTGCCGGGTGACAGCGGCGGCGGCGCTCCAGCCTGCTG